TATAAAGTCACTAATGTAAAATTCACATGGATCATGTTTTTGTCTCATAAAAAATTAAGATGAACTCTTTGCCTTTAATTTAAGGTCCATCTTAGAAAACTTTTCATTGAAGAAAGTACCCAATTTATCAGACAACTTGATGATCTGCTTATTTAGCTTAGGATGCAGCCATTAGTTCCTGTCAACTACTCATGTCAACCTTTTCACAGKGACAAACACTGCATATTTTAGCAGGCTGAAGTCTGCTCTTCGTATGAAACATGAGCTGCATATAAATGAAAAAAATACAAAATAAAGTAGAGGTTCATTTTGTTTTCAACCTGAGTAAAATTTTAAACTTGTTACATAAACACACTATCAGCTGATTAGTGATTGTATTCCCTTTCGGTTGCATGTGCTACCTCAGCTTGACACTTCCTCCTACACATGGTAGGTGGCACAATGCTTGTTGTGAAAGCAGGAGCTGTTTCAAACACAGCCGAACGAAGGATCTATCTTCCCAAGCTGCTCAAAAGAGAAACTAGGCATCTTGCTGGTCAAGTGACAACAGCGTCTTCAGCGTACTACAACGAATGAAAATATGATAATGTACCATGAAACAAAGATTTACAAGTATGGAAGAAGAAAAATAAGGCAAAGAAAGTTGGGCTAGAAAAAAGCTACAATTAAATTCATGTGAGTTTGGCTTCAAAATCAATTCACACTCAAAAATATTTGTATGACTGAAGAAAACATAAAACCACYTTTCCTTCCTCAGGAGTGGTCAATGATAAAGGTCACCTCAAGAGTAAAGGGTGAAACAGTCTGCGAGGCCAAGAAAAAAAATGGATACATTTCAAATCTTACTGGCTTTTGATAAAGTTAATGTGTTCACCATTACATTTTATCAACACATGTAAAATTGTACACTTACTACATTTTTAAATGAACAAAKGTATAAAGAAAATATTGTGATAATTGTGTTGGAACCTGAAATAACAACCTAAAGTAATTCTGTCTATTTTTAACTACAGTATTTCTTTAAACACACTATCCCACAGTTTTCATGTTTATTTAGGTTAGATAATTGAATTACTTGTGACTCTTGGCATTTTCATCCAACACCCACTATTCTTTTATTTATCTACTTGGTAAACAAACTATATTCTTGTTAATTAGCTGAAGTCAAATAAAGTGTGATACCTTCAACAAGGCAACGAGCAAAGGGGAGAACTCATTAACTTTTGGAGTGGATCAGGATCACTTTCATTAAAATTGTGAAATAAAGCTTTGGCTTCAATGGAGGATGCATTCTGAGTGTTTTCATTTTGCTTTTGCTCTCACTGGAATGATAAAATGTAAAACTTTTTTTGTAAATTAGAAAATGGTCCAATAATAATAAAATTTATTTCTGACAATAACTTCCTTTTAATCTTCACAGTAACCAAGTTTTATACAGAAGTGGTTCGAAATTAAAGAAGCAAACTATGAATTCAGACAGGAAGGTAAACCATTTGGTTTGATTATGATTGTTTCTTGTTGTTTATGAGTTTTTTTACACAGTGAAAATTCATAGAGGATTTTCTTTAGAAAAATATATAGATGATCCTTGTGTTCTTGCCATTGACATAAATTAATGATTGTTTATCTGTTTGACTATCTATTTTCTGCAATATTTCTTAATAACTCTTTTTAAAGTTGTGTGTTTCTAACTTGGAAATGGAAAGGTTGAAAATGACTGAAAAAAAATCGGAACTTTAATAATAATAATAATGATAATAATAATAATAACAATAATAATAATAATAATAATAA